ACAGTGGGCTCCTGGTGTGCAAGCCACCCAGTCTGCGGCGCTTGCTTTCAGCAGCCATGCAGACTGATGGAGGAAGGCCTGCCAGCCCGGACGACGCCCTTTCAGGGAAAGGAAGAGAAATTTCAATGACTCTGAGCTAAATCTCTCTCCTGTAAAGTCACAGGGAGCATCAGTAAACCCAGCGAGCTCCTTCTCTCATAAAGGCACACTTCTCCAAGCTGATGGCTGGAGATGGTACGCCTACTGTTGGGCCCAAATAAAGAGCTGACAGAACACAGACAGAGGAGGTTGAAAGAGGAAGAAGACAGGCGGAACGTCTGGAGATGGAGGATATTGTGGGTGTTCTCTGCAGTGGGAAAATCCCCTCCCCAGGCTCATGGGACATAGTATGTTAACCAATAACATGATAACCAATAACCTCCATCAAAACTTCCTAAAATCAGCCGAAAGAGGATTGCAAAAGGGCACGGAGGGACTTTTGAGGGTGACATAAAACTTCTACATCATGATGATTATAATTGTTATACAACTGTGCAATTTGTCAAAACTCATTGAACTGTATACTTAAAACTGGTGAATTTGGTTGCATGTAAATTATACCTCAATAAAGCTGATCACAGTAAAAAAAAAAAAAAAAAAGAAAGAAAGAAAGAGAAAAATCAGCCCACAAATACAAATCTGGTTAAATGTGTTTGGTTTGGTGGTGATCAGGGAGAAAATTTAAAAAGAAAGGGAAAAAAAAAACAGGCTAAAAATAGACCATTTGATTTAAAACACAGTGTGGAAAAAAATAAAAAAATAATGTTATGGTAATATTATGGCCTGCTATATAATTAAATGAGAAGAAAACACACACATATATTTTAGTATCCTCAGTCAGGTAGTTAATCTGACATAATAAAAAGAAAAGAGGAACCAGAAAATCCTCTTTTTTTCTAAATACAGAACAAAAATTAAAAGGACCGATGAATAATCCCTGAGTATAAATGCTATTAAGTGTAGAAATACGCTGTTAAGTGTTCCCATTTGAACTACTGGGAGATTTGCTGGGAATTTCAGATAACAAGATGAAAGGGAGGCATTACTGTCACTGAATGAACAGGGCCCTGTACCCACAGCTCTAACCTTGACCTAAAATGATATACATGGAGCATTGGCAGCATCGTCCTGTTAGGTAGACAAGAGCTGGTATGTTCTAGGAATAAATCCAAAGCCCCAAGTTCAGTCTTGAAGACCTGGGGTTAAGGTCAGGGTTATTCTCTAGCTCAGAGCAAGCCTGAGCCTCTGCTGAACTTGCAGGAATCGCTCCTATGATCACTTTCTCACTGTCATCTGCATACTGACTGAGCACCAGAGTGCTGTAAAGAACTGCGGTTTGGTTTGGTGCCATCCTGGAGGCAAGGGAGGAGGAGAGCTACTTTGTCCGGGGAGGAGAGGTGCAAGGGAAATGCCGAGAAGCACCCAGAACAGAGCTTGGCTCAAAAGGGCATTATTTTCTCTAGTTTCTCTTCTGTTAAACGATTTGCTGCCCTTTGAAGTCACACCTCTGTGTTTTAGATGTTTTATACTGATTTTTTTTTTCTCATACACATTATAGATGAGAAACAGAGGTGTCTAGCTTAGTTTGGCTTTAGAGAAAAAAAAAACCCACCATTGAGCTATACTAACTATGAGAACTGGGGCAAAATATGTCAGCCATCCAGACCTTTGTTCCTTCATCTATAAAATGGGATGACTCCTACCTCTCGAATCTATTGTAAGGATTAAGGTTTATACTACAGGTAAAGTACTTAGCTCCATACCTAGTGTTTATTAAGGACTCAATAAATTACACTAGTATTAGATGATACTTTTAAATTGTTTTATTACAGTCTTTCTACAATTACATGGTGGCATATAAAAGATCAACTTTTAAATTTCTTATAAATCAACAAGTTTAAAATTAAGTTCATAACATTAAATTAAATCCATACTTAATAGAGAGCTGCTGAGTTTTATTTCATTCATTCACTCATTCAACAACTATTTAATTACTGAGGGTTTACTATGTGCCAAATATTACTTTAGGCATGGGGATAGAGCAGAGAATAAGACAGACGCAACCCTTTCCCTTATAGAGTTTATCATCTAGAAGGGGAGCAGACATCATACAAATAATCAATATATGTGTTCGGTGGTGTTGAATGCTATGGGGGAGGGGGCCCCAAAGCAGTGGTTGTGCTGGGGAGAAGAGGGATTGCTGTTCTATATCTGAAAGAAAAGACCTCACTGAAGAGGTGCCATGTAAGCAGAAATCATGAAGGCTGTGAGGACACTACATGTAGACATCTGGGGCAAGACCATTCCAAGCAGATGAAAAAGCATGTGCAAAGGCCCTGAGGCCTAAACCTGCTTGATGTGTTTAAGACACAAGAAGGCCGCCCTGGCCAGTTTGGCTCAGCGGTTAGAACGTCAACCTGCGGTCCTGAGAGACCCGGGTTCGGTTCCCGCTAAGGGCGCGTGCCTTGGTTGCAGTTTGTCCCCGGCCCTGGTCGGTCGTGCGGTGGCAGCCACTCGATGTGTTCCTTTCACGTTAATGTCTCTCTCTCTCTCTCTCTGTTCCTCTCTCTCCCTCCCACTCTACCTGAACAAAAAAATGAGAAAATGTCCTCGGGTGAGGATAAAAAAAAAAAAAAAAAAAGACACAAGAAGGCCTATATGACTAGAGCCAAGAGAGTAAGGGGAGGAGGGAAGGAGAGAAGTTAGAGGGGGCAGATTATGGAGGATCTTATAGGTCATAGTGAGATGAGGCATTTTGAGCAGACAAGTAGCATGATGAGACTTATATTACACTCAACCCACCTCCAACACTGGCTGCTTTAAGAGAAATGTTCCTTTTGTTATGGTAGATTTACATATTAACTGGATCACTCTAGCAGCTGTGTTGAGAACAGACTGCAGAAAGATAAGGATAGAAGCTGAAAGGTCAGTTAGTTAGGGAGGAAGCGGGCAGGCTTGGACCAAGCAGGTAAAAGTGGTTAGATTCTGGATGTGTTGAAGGTAGAGCCAACAGGGATTGCTGAGGGATCAAATGTCATCCTGAGTGATGAGAGAAGTGAAGAAGCCCCCCCCCAACTACCTTACCCCCCACCTCAGCAATATTTTGTTCCAAGCAAACTGCCATTTACTGAGATAGGAAAAATTGCAGAAGACACAGGTTTCTTTGAGCTATCTGGATGTTTGGTTTTTATTTTATAAGTATTACGAAGTGTAGCAGCATTCAAGTGGAGATATCTATTAAGTAAGCAACTGTATACAGAAACCTGGGCAAGAGCTGGTTCTGTGATTTAGAAGCAAGAATATTTATTTGTTATTAAGATCAGAATTTAGAACCCATCAGCTTTAGATGGTATTTGGACATGCACAGACTGAGTTCCGTGGTCAGAGGTAGGAAGCAGCAGCAGGACTCTCTGAGCTGGGAGTAGGGAGGCAGAGAGGTAACCAGAGCCCTCAGGGCCCAGGAAGTAGAGAACAGAGCTGTGCAGAGAGCACCACTATTTCCTCTTCAAGTTGACAAGTTTGGCTTTTATATTTGCAAATTAAATTATTTCTTTGGGCAGCTTTTCCAAAACAAATAGTCTTTTCCAGAGGTCTATCTAAGTCTTTGTTTTCCACGAAGAATAGAAAACTGCTCTCGGCTTTGAAATAGCAGCTTAATTTTTATTTCCATCACCCTGTCCAGGTTTCAGAGATCTCGAGGTCCAGTTTCAGTCAATAACCCAAGCAAGCGACCACTGTAACCCAGTGATACCTCTCTTATCCACAGAAGTTTCTGGTAGGGAAAAACAAACCAACTTAGAGCTAAAGAATGGGATCCCTGTCTTTCTTCCGAAATAGTTTTAATCAGAATCAGTCTGCTATGCTCAGGAGTGTGAGCCAAACCCAAGGTGCAGAAAGCCAAATAAGAAAGCAATCAAGTATCTGAGCTATTGAACAAGAAATATACATGAAATAATTCCAGACAATTACAAGTCTCACAATATTTCAGCATGGGGCCTGTTCTGTGACTTAGAAGCAAGAATATTTATTTGTTATTAAGATCAGAAATAAAAATGTAGAGCCAAGTAGCCACTGAGGGAGAGGAGAAATGGCCTATATGTGGAGGATGGAACCAAATGAACTTGGTGAAAAAAAATGTACATACTGGCATTTCCCTCACCGTCCAAGTCGCTTGGGCGCTTAGCCAAGGCATATTTTTAGTATTCTGCCGTGTTTTGTGAACAAGATTGGGTCTTATGAGAAATAACATGACCCTGATTGTGTTCAGATGAAGCAAACTCCCAACCAAAACTTTCTTCCCAATAATAGTTTATCTCTACATTTCCAACACAAGAGGATTCTGAATTCAGTTTTGAAATCCTAACCTTAGAAATGCATCCCCAGCTGAGGGCCAGGGTGCCTCTGCCCACAAGCCACGTTCCCCTAAAGGGGGACGCAGAGGGACCACTGTCTGCAGTCCTCCGGGGACACGTCTGCACAGGGACACGGTCTGATCCTGCCGTTTTCCCAGACTCCAGCTCAGCCCGACCCGAGAGGCCCTGGCAGGTGCAGAGCGAAAGGTGAGCCGGCCGCGGCCCACCGGGCTGGCCTCCAGCTGGACACGTGTGCTGCCTCCTGGTTACACGTTAACCACGGTCCCGGCTTGATCTCACAGCCGAAGGAACGTCTTTTCCTGTCGCACGTGACAGCGACAGCCTCCCTGCTGAGGCGGGTCCATTAGGCGAGAGGACTGTCTTCCGCCCCAGGGCCAGGCACTCGGCCGCCTCTGCCCAGAAGCTGCACCCCTGCCCCCAGCCCACAGCACCCGCGGGGCAGCTCCGCCCACCCTGAGCCCCGCGCCGCCCGGCTGGGTGCGCATGCGCGACCGTGGGCGGGGCCTCGCGCGCCCCCTCCGGACAGTCCTCCTCCTCTTCCTCCTCCTCCTCCGGGGCCGGTCCCGTCGGCGCGGGGCGGAGTGCGCCTGCGCGGAGCCGGCAGTCCGGCGGGGCAGCAGCCGCGGGGTGGCTGGCGGTTGCCGTGGGGACCGCGGGCCCCTCCCTCCTCCGGTCCCCGCCCCACGCCGTTCCCCCGAGACGCGGCCGACGACCCCGGCCCTCCCCTCCCGCAGCCCCGGCCGGAGCTGCAGCCGCGACCGCAGGAGGCGGCGCCGCTCCCAAGATGTCGCAGACGGCCATGTCCGAGACCTACGGTACGCGGCCGGGCGGGCGGGGCGCGGGCCGAGCCGGGGCGGGCGCGACCTGCCTCCAAGTTTCTGGTCTCGGCTTACGCCCGGGGCTTTTCCTCCCTCTGCTCTCGGGGGCTCGGGGGTGGGGGCAGTTCGAGCCTCAGTTTCTCCCGCGGCATTGTCCCCAGCGAGGGATGTGAAGGACTTCGGGCGTCGCCTGTATGGCAGCGGGAGCCGCAGACCTTCCAGTCCGACCTGCCCGGTCTGGGGTCCCTCTCTTTGCACCTGATGGGAGGGGAGGTGGCGGCGGAGTGACCCGGTTCCTCCCCGGCCGCGCGCGCGCGCTCTCCCTCCCCCTCTCCTCTCTCTCCGGGATTTGAGCCCTTTCTAGTTGTATGATGACTGTTTATAAATGTCTTTTGAAGACCGTAAACACCTTGGAGACATAGTCCTGTGTTTGATTTTTGCTTCCCCTATGAGCACGCACACCTGGAGGTGCCCACAAATATATATATATTTTAGTAAATGAAAGCCTTCCCGATACATATGCAGTGTTTTTCTGTTTTTGTTTTAGTCCTGCGTGCTAAAAACAAACCACTTGGTAGACCTGCACGCCCCAGTCTCTAAGCGCTCTTTCAGATGTGTGCATCTAGACTGAGTTGGAGTTTTACAGCCCCAGGGATGGGCTCAGATTCAAGAGTGTATTCCTCCAGCCCAGTCAGTCGTGTCTCCGATGGTGCTGGCACACTGCTCTTTGCCCGGGAGTGTGTGCAGGGGCACGTGAACCCGCATGCTGGAGGGCACCCACAGCAGGCACTGCTCTGGTTTCATGGAGCTTACTGTCTAGTGGAGGATACAGTGTTAATCCAACTATGACACTAATGAATGGTTAAAAACCCTGGCAGGAGTCCTGAAGGAATGTGTGGTCCATGAAAGTATGTTACAAAGAAACCTAACCCAGACTGGGGGCCGGGAGACAGTATCCCTGAGCACAGCAGAACAGTACATGCCCAGGCCCTGAGGGAGATGGAGTTCCAATAAGGGGAGTGTGCTTTTGGCTCCACAGCCCCTGGGAGAAAGGTGAGGGTGAGGCAGAGAGGATCTTGAGGTCCCAAAAGGTCACAGTGCATTTGCTCCTTGTTGAGCCACTCCTGTGATTGGTTCATGCTTGGTGACACTGGGGTGGCAGGGTGTCTGTTTTCTAGAAGGCTTTGGAGATCCTCCACCAAGTTGCTGGCTTCGTAAGGACCGGTGTTGTCAAAGGTGCAAATGCCATAGTATGTTGCATCTACATGGTCTGGTTTTCTCTATGGAGAATCACAGTCTGATTTTGCAATTTTTGGTTATACTTTTGCTTATTTTATTTTATTTTATTTTCAAGTGGTCATTACTCCACCTCTTTTTTTCTTTAACCTTGATGAGGTTAACAGGGAGGGGTAGAAAGTCCAAATAAGTAAACCAAGAGGGGACTGTGAATTAGTAAGAAATGACTGGAAGAGTTCAGGAAATAGAGCTTTTATGTTTCATTTGTCATATGTGAAATGGTAACCTGGATAAAATGTAGCATAACTTTGGCATCTCTACTTCCCTTCACACAGTTAATTGCACTTTTCAGCATCACAGTAACTGAGTAAATTCTGGTCATGAGGCTTTGATCATTAAGATTCTTACTTCATGGTAGCTTCCAAATATGTTTTTACGTTTTACCAACTGAATTTAACCTTTTCCTCTAATAGGGGAAACCACTACTAAAAAAACTAGTTTTAGAAAGAGCAAGTGTGGCAGTTGAAAGTGTCAACCTAAAATTAGAAATCACCCCAAACCAAGACCTAAAGCTGTCACCTTCCCTTCTCATTGACCATATTTGCACAGCATTGTTCCCCAAAAGTAAAACATCAAGGGCATTCCAGACATTTACCTCTTCAGTAGCTGGTAAATATATATATATATATTTGCCTAACCTTTAAACTCCTTTCTACTCTGGGCTCATTTTCTCTCATCTGGAAAAGAAGGCTCTGTGTACCTTAACTGTGATAAAATGAAAAATAAAGAGCCAGTGCTTACGATGTACTGTTAATGAGTTGTATCTACCTGCTTTTCAGCATGTTAAAGCAATATTCCACCTTTCATAGACTAGTGTTCAAAATTTTGGTGCTTGAAACCACTAACCACATGAAAACTATATAATTCATATACTATTGTAATACAAAATTGCGATCTTAAATACCTAGGTTTCAGATTGAAACCCTCATTCTGAATAGTCCTAAACTGAAACAGTGTTTCCCAAATATTGTTAGATTCACAACATTCTTTTTTTTAAATATATTGTTATGGATTTTTTAGAGAGAGAGGAGGAAAGAAACACCTATGTGAGAGCCTGGCTCTGCTGCCTCCTGCATGCCCCCTACTGGGGATTGAGCCCACAGCCCTGACTGGGAATCGAACTGGGACCTCTCAGTCCATAGGACAACGCTCAGTCCACTGGGCCACACCCGCCAGGCGTATTCACAACATTCTTTTTTTTTAATCCTCTCCCACATGTTTTTCCATTTATCTTCAGATAGAGTGGGAGGGAGGGAGAGAGAGACATCAATGTGAGAGAGACACATCAACTGGCTGCCTCCCCCATGACACCCGGACCAGGGCTGGGGACTGAACTGCAACAAGGTATGTGCCCTGAGCAGAATCAAACTCGAGACTTTTTGGTCCACAGGACGACGCTCTGACTGCAGAGCCAAACTGGCCAGGGCAATATTCACAACACTCTTAAAGCCATGGCCAGTTAGCCCTGGCTTGTGACTTCCTAAGGAACCCCAACCATCTGAGACTTGGGAGATCACATATTGACTTTAAAGTCATTTCTGATACCAAGATTTGTGAGACAGAATAACAAATTAGATAAGTAATACCAAGCAATGATGTTCAGAAAAAAGTGATTACTGGGGTATTGAACCTTACAAAAGAATTCTGTTATGGGTAACTCTATAGAAAGGGGCCCAAAGGGTGAGACATTTCCAAAAGACTGTTGGTAATATGATCAATAACAGAAGAGGTATTGCCATTGTTATAGCTAGAAGTTCACATTTATGCTTACATGAAATTGTGTTGGTGATCTTTGCTCTGGATATTTCTTTGGAATGAGAAGAGAGCTGTTTTTTCTTGATTTTCTTCTCTTAACCCATCATAGAGATTGATCTGGTTGATGTTATAGATTCCCCCCCCCCCCCGCCCCTCCTAATAACTCCATTAGAATACTTGCTGGTGGAAATAGTTTGAGGGGAAACCCTTGAATACTCTGCATCCTGTTACACTTGCCTTTGAACGTCACTGTTTTCTCTGCCAGTCTAGTCTTGGTAATGGACTGTGTTCCTTTTGTTTGAAGAACACTTGACTTTTGCTCCTCCTTAGCCGTGAATATGGATTAAAGCTAAAGTGATGTGCAGGGTACTGTTGTTTAAAGGCCAGATGCAACCCTGGCTGGTTTGGCTCAGCAGTTAGAGCATCAGCCTGCGGTCCAGAGAGACCTGGGGTCGGTTCCCGCTAAGGGCTGTACCTCGGTTGCAGTTTGTCCCCGGCCCTGGTTGGGTCATGCAGGTGGCAACCACTTGATGTGTCCCTTTCATGTGATGTTTCTCTCTCTCTCTTTCTCTCTCTCCCTCCCACTCTATCTGAACAAAAAATGAAAAAAATAAAAATAAAAGCCAGATGCAGTCAGGCAGGTTGAAGGGAAGGGATAGTGTAGGATCACCCGACATGCAAGGTTAACCCTGTGTGTCTGCACAGTTTCTCCCTCGGTAATCCCCGTCACAGCTTTCAAAACAAAAATAATCTGTGTTGGGAGAAATCGGGCCAATACACATATCCCTGATAGTGATGGATAGTGATAGAGAAAAAAGCCAAATGCAGTCCTACACTGTTCCAATGGTGAACTCTTATATGACAGTACTCAGTGGTCTTCGTCTTATAATTCTTGCTACTTCTCTTCTATGCTGTGTTTTTGGCACTTAAGTCTAAAAAGCAGCTGACAATATTCAGATATGGGGAAAGGCCAATATTCATAAAGTGCTAATAAATTATGAATGAGAGAATATATTTTAGAGGGAGGTTTGTCATTTTCAAATGAATTTTTAATCATGCACAAAAGAAATTGGGGGCTTAAAAACAAAGCTTCTCTCTTTGTTATAATTAAAAATATTATATGTAGTGTCCTCGGTTTGAATATTATTACTGTTGTAAACTGTTTACACTGGTTATTCCAGGAATCCTCACCAAACACAGACCACATCTTGGCACTGCCTGTGGGGAGTTTGCAGATCTGTTCTTCAATTCAAGCAGCTCTCGAATGTGACAAAGCAAGTCCTCTCAAGACCAGATAGTAAGCTCTTTGAGAGCAGGGGCCTGCTTAGGTGGCTTTCTGTGGGCTGTGCTGTGTGCAGTTCCTGAGCCAGCCTCCGGGTCGCCGGAAGAGCCAGATTGGATTCCATTTGAGAAGTGGTGTTTTCCTCTCAGTTACAGAACGTGCAGCAATTGCCAGGATGAATGGAAAACCCCACTTTAACACATAGGGGAAACTTTCCTTTGTGGCGGAAGTCTAACAGCTCTTTACATTGTAATAATATAAATGCAGCTCTAATGAAGACCTCTCTCACAGACAGCATTGTCCACATTAAATAGGTCACACAAGGCATCCTTGAGAGAAATAATCCAAATCTGAAATCAGTTCACGTGCATCAGAGCAGAGATTCGCAAAGGTCCTTTGCTTTCCGGAGCTGTAGGGCTCAGCTGCTGCCCAGCTGAGCATAATTTTGTACCTGCAGAGAGAACATGATGATCAAATGGAAGCTGGTCAGCCGTGGAGGTAAAAGATCAAAAAAACAGGCTCTGGTGTATCCATCAAGCACCCCTGTGGGGACTGGTGCCAAGCCTAGGCAGAGCCTGGGGCCCCCGGGGGCCGCATATTGTGGTGGCAGATTTTATCAGGTGATCTGAATCTGTGGTCACTAAACATTCAAATGCTGACATTT